TATTATTTGTGACTTGGGACGGCCGAAGTCAAAAAAGAATAAATTATCAACATAATCTCAAAATTGGTGTCTCAAAATAATTTTTGTTGTAATTAATATTTCATATGATTATAGTTTTAGCGAATATATCCTTTATTAATCCCAACACTTACAATGTTCTATACAGAACTAATGTTCAAGTGTATTAGGCTAATAACATGGAATAACAAACCCAGTTCGATCGATGGAGTGATTTCTGTGGGATCTTATTTAAATGGCTTATTGCCACGGAAAAGGTTCATTAGCGTTTGAACTTTTTAATGCCTTTTTTATTTTAGATTGCGTAATCTTGATACTCTTCACGTAATTCTAAAGGAACCCCGAGGATGATGCGATAACCCAGATATTTAATGGTAGTCTTCCAGTATTGATATTCCACCAGATATAGTACTATGAACTATAAAATACAAGCCGTGACTCATATCTATGCTCAATGAATAATATGAACACCCACAAGCGATGTTGGAAATAGGATGTGCAGAAAACACAAAACTGGCTAATTTCTACCTTTTGTGAAGCATAGAGTTACAGGGAGAAATTAAGGTGTGGATGTACCCGGATACAATAATAACACTTGAGACACTAGAAACAGACGTAAAATAGAATATATACTAAGTATATAAGATAGCCATCAAAGCATCTCTGAAATTTTAAATAAAACAAGTGAGCATATTGGAAGTTTTAGTCAGAAACACAGAAATAGACATTCTATTACGCTCTAACATCTTTTTTAAAGAATGAAGCATGCAGAGAAAGTATGGTATTGAAATAGTATATGAATTTATTCATATAAAACATAAAACTAAAGCAATATACACAATCATACGACACTATTAACATTCTTTCACACCTTTGTAATTGGCCAAAAAACGCTAAAAAATACTTCTTCGTATCTTTCAAGAAAACTAGTTGAATAGTCCTCAAAAACATCTACCCTTTAAAAGCACCTAATATGAGAGTATTGAACTCCGCATATATGGGAATTAATAATAACCTAGTATTAGAGAAAATTAGAAATATCACGCAACACACAAAAGCAAAAAGACATTCTCGTAAGTCGGAGAAAATAAATATAGAGTATAAGGCGATAGTACAAAACAACTCTATCAACAAAGTAGAGGAAATAACTGAAAATGCAATAAGCAATGAATATGACGTGATGACGTGTGATGATAATGCATAAGCAATAGGAACGAGACAAACAAACAAAATATAAATACTATCGGGTATAAGGTAGGGTGACAGCCTCAGCCCCATATTATCCAACGTCATCATGGACGAAATTATCACAAAGGTCAAGACCGCTGCTGACGGGTACAGAAAGGGCAACAAACAATTCAAAAAAACGTTAACTTAATATCCGTAAACGAACACAATTTATAGAGGTTATTATATAGATTCGAAACAACTGCAAAAATATTCAGTGTGACCATTTCATTTCAAAAAACAATCCCTTACAGTATCTAAAGAACGCATACGCTCAAACACCTTAAGTGATAATATCAAATGTACACAAAATATGCATAAAACACATCATGATTTAAGCTTAGAAAAGCTTTTAGGGACTACTATATGAAAATTCTAAGCCATAACTGGTTACACTTAAAAAGGCAGACAACGAAGCGAAGACATTAGAAACACATGTGGCATTGGGGTTATTGTTAGATGAGCTAGAATGTGAAAAAAAGGTTGGAAACCAACTACGTTAAGACTCGAAAGGGATCACCTAAGCGATGGATAGAAAGGCACATATTAGTATATACAGCACGAACTTCTACATTTAAGAAAAATTGAATAGTTGTAGGCTATAAGTCAGCCAATGACATGACATAATAAGAGAAAAATTATATTTCAACATAGTCAAGTTGACACCATCGACACTTTTTATGTACAAATCCACATTTCAATATCAACATTATACATACAAGTAATAATAAAATATACATTTTTAACTCTATTATTGTATTAAACTGACTTCTAGTTCAAACAATTGAAGGCGGATTATGTAACAAATCTTGAATACATAATACATAATAAAATATATAAAGTAAAGTATATATATGTATAAAGTAAAGTTGTGAATATAATAGATGATGAAACAAATAGCATACGGACAAGACATACACAAGCTCAGACCGCACATGAATGCACGACCCAAAATCAAAGTACATCACAGATTGTTGTAAAGAAGTTGCCATTGTTTAAATCAACCATACATTAAGTAAAGCACATCTCTGTCTCTCAATCTCTCAGCTTTAAAACCCGGCATAGTTGATTGTCAAAATGACACTACAAAACTCTCATAAGATTTATAGACATGGTATGTGAAAGACCGCTGTAACAATGATAGGTGGTATAGAGTGCAAACAGAAGCGGCCCCAAGACGGAACCTTGTGGAACACTCTTACCTTTTGTGTTCTACCAGTTAAATAGTTATCTATTAGTGTCACAGCACTTCGACCCACTCCCAATAATGCCAGTATGCGACAAAGTAATGTATGATCAATGCTGTCGAATGCCTTAGAGAAATCCAAGAGTACCACCGCTGTTAGCATACCCTTATCAGCTGCACCCCAAACATCATCAGTGAGTTTTAGCATAGCTGTAGCGCAACTATGATGTTCTGTTCAATATAAGGGATTAATTGATTTTTCATGCTATTTCTAAGATCTTAGACATAGTTGGCAAAATACTGATCGGACTCAAGTCCCCATAACTAACTGGATTCTTTTGGTAGTGGAAGTATGACAGTCCATTTCCACTGATCAGGAAAAATATTTTCAACCAAACAAAAATTCAATGCTTGCGTCAAATACGACAATATATGGGGCAACACAGCCGAAGCATACTAATGCCGAGTTAGTTCCCATCGATGAAGAGCTTGAAGAGCTGCTGTAGCAGTCATCAGCCTTGCCCAATGAAATATCGTCAAGGAACTCGTCTTGAACACTTTGCACAAAGAAACTGTTTATGCCATCAGGATTCTGCAACTGTATGAGTAATTGTCTACTATTATGATTCATTGATTTAATTTGTAAATGGTTCAAACCTTCCCATCTCCGCTTAGAATCAGGTTTGTTCGAAATGTATCATCACATTTAACATATAAATCCTTCACAACATTTAACGTATGTCACCTTATTTAAGCAGTTTGCAACTAATTCAACAGTGAAAATGTACTTAATGGGGTGTGCAATCCATCCTAATCCAAATTATGGAAATTGAAGCCCAAGTGCTGCAGACTACAAGCTTATTATACTCACCAATGCAACGGAGGATCGTCCAAAGAATATTAACTTCTTGAAATTGGTCCGATTTAATTTTGGAGATTCTTACCTTGATTAACATTATCCTGAATTTGTTATCCTCCCGCATTTGATTGGAATCTGCGTTATCGTCTGTAAACACGTTCCGTATTAGAGAGTGTTATTACTTGGAAATGTTTTCTGGTTCAATACTTACCGATTATTAATTCTGTCATTATCTTAAGTTGATGTATTTCAAGGTTTTAAACATGGTTGATAGCATTGTATCGTTATGGAATATTATAGATAGACTCAGTGGCGAGAAGAAGCAAAGAGAACAAATCCTTTCTTTGATTTACCAATCTCATTTCGTGTTGGAGATCAACGTACAGTATCATCAATCTAGGCACCATGATATGTGGCTATTGCTAGGATATACTAGATATAAACGTAGCAATGTGTGGTTTTTAGCAAATCCAACAAATAATGCGACATATACAGTACCGGTCAAAAGTATATGATAATTTCGTTTCCCCACATAACTTTTTTGAAACTTTATGAAACCAGACAATTTTTTCACCATAGTTTTTGCAATGTATTTCACATGACATAGACTTATGTAGAAGAATCCGTTTCAATTTTGAGCTATTAAAAAATTTGAGCCAATCGTGAACTGCTGTTCATCAGCCATTTAGAGCAACCTAGTACTTGGTTGGGTAACCCTTGCTGTTGATCACAGCTTGGCATCTACAGGATATGGAATCGATCAATGCATCGATGGTCTGCAGCTATTTATCGACAGCCTGTAGCTGTTGGAACTTCTCGACGACGGAAGTGGCCGTCAACTTGCCTCCTAGAGTCCATTACTGCCACTCGACGCTGCGCTAACTAGTTGAATGCCCCTGTATGTGTGCTTGGGATCATTGTCTTGCTTGAGCCAACCCCGATCGATGTTTTTGCTTGCCCAGAGAAGCATGTTATCCTGCAGAATGTCTCTGTATGGTGCCAGCAGCGCTAAAGCAACCTCACACCATGACGGAACCACCGTCGTGCTTCATCATGGGAGGCAGGTACTTGGGATCGAAGCGAGTGCCCATATGATGATATGCCGTCAGTTCCGAATGGCTGGAAGTTACCGGGTCCAGTTAAGGGGCGCCTTCGCCCACTCCACCCGCGTCTTCCTGTCCTGTGTAGCTGAAACGAGTAGTTCCTATACATCGACCAATGAGTCCTGCATCCTTCAGCTTCTTGTTGACCAACGATCATATATGTACTTTTGAGCGGTACTGTATAAGCATCATAGACATTATGTTTATTGACATTGAGTATCACAACCCTTGATGATCCCTGGGTTGATCAAGAATAAGATTTGTCGCTTGACTTTAGCCAGCAAAGATCACTGCTATTGTTAAGCAATGAAGAAATATTCGGATTTCCAAATATTGATCTCTAAAGTCTTAAGTCTATAGTTTTCTCTTTTAAGGGAAGAAAGCAGATATCAAGTTATTAGTAAGGATATTTTGGAGATTCTCTTTATCTTTTAACAAATAGAATAATTTTAGATACAACCAGAATTTAGAGTTTTAACACATGACGTGGACTCTGCGAGTCAAGATCTGGTTGAAGTGTACACACAATTTTTTTCTATTGACAATTAGGGTTGCAAAAATTAATAACACCGAATTATTTTTTTTATAATAAGTAATTTATTTTTCTTTCACATCTATAATATACATCTAGTATATTTTTTTGTATTATATCAGCGAATTTATTTTATACAGGATGTTTTCTCGGTGGTCGTCCAAGATATCTTTTCCCTACTTGGACGTAAAATCAATAAAAGGCCGATACAAAAGAACTATTTACAGGTTTCGGTTTAAGCAGTTTTCGAATGATTAGGTAAACAAATTCATTTGGTTTGTGGCATTAAGTTTGATTCGATTCAAATTTTGACTGTCACCTTTATTTTTTCTTGGACAGTTTTAAAAATTGAGTTAATTTTAATGTTTAGGTTTTTTTTTAAGGTTGAAAATATAATTATTGGCACTTTCGCGTCTCTCGTCGACCTCTTCTCGTGAGAAAGAACTAACGATAACTAACGACAGGGCGATTTTTAACCGGGTCAAGTTATTTCTTAAAAACTAAAAGAAAAAGATTTAACTCTCTCTCTATCACTCGCTTTCTCCCTCAATCACTCTTTCCCTCTCTCTCTTTTCTTTTAATTTCTATACGTATTTATGTACAAATTAAGGGGTGGCGGCTCTCTTTATTTACATTTCTTTTTTTAATATTATTCAAAAAACTTTTCATAGTTTTACTTTCTTCTCTCTTAGTACATCTTTTTCACCAACACATTTTTTTAATCTCATTTTTATTTTTTGTGTTGCTTTATAATAATAATATCACCTAGTTAGAGATTAAAAGTAAAAATTAAGAAAACGTTTCGAACAAAAAAATTAAAAATCGATAGCGAGATGAAAAAAAAAACATTTTTTTTCAAAGCGCGTTATTCCCGAGCCCTCTTTGCCAGGGCCTTCGCTAGCTACCAGACGAGACCCTCGTTCATTGGGGGCGGGTTATCGCTGAAATTCCCGGCTCCTATAAACTCGGGACTTCCCCCTCTTCCCCCTTGCATCATTTGATCGGGACCGGGTTGTTGTGGCATGAATTGTCCTTGTTCGTTTGGCAAAGAACCGAAATCTCCAGACATGGGCATAGGTCCGCCGTGATCTAATGGACCACCTATATATAAAAATTAGTACAAAAAGAAAATAAAACAAAAATATTTTTTTACCTGGTGTACTAAATGGCATGGGTTGTCCTGGTGCTCCGGGATGGTGCCCAGGAAAGAAAGGAGGTGTATCGTGGGGATGGAAAGGTCCTCCGGGGTAGCCGAATTCAAATTTCCCATCCGGATAAAATCCAAATCCGGGTGGTCCATCATCCATTCCACCAGGTGATAAATTCATTGCAAATCCCCGCATTTTACGTGATGATCCAAAGAAGGGACCTCGACCCATCGATGTGAGCTGTTTTAATCGGCGCTCTTTCGACCGTTTATTCTGAAACCAAACCTACAAAAAAAAAATTGGTTAAGTGTCATACAAGAATTTGAAAAGAATAAAAGGTTTTAATTAAATCCGCCCACTCTCAAGAATTCAAAAAAAAAAAAACCCTGTCTTAGAAGATGGTCATTTCAACCGAAACACGTAAATATGCATACTAACATATTTACATGGTTAATAACTACGTTCAGTTGCTATTTAGAAATAGTTCTTTTTAATTATAAGGCCCATCGTCACAGAAACTTATTTATACCGTCAATAGTAAAATACCGTGGCGCCTCTTAAGCCCCCTTTTCGAAGTAAATGACTCGAGGAGCTTCAATTTCTCGCCTGTCTACGCAACACGAATTCGAGCAACGCTAACGTAGAAAATTGAATCTATATTTAGGTGCGCTTTTACGTCTAAATAAACCTGTTTTTGTTAAAATTTAAATTTATGAAATTTTTTGATTTGTGTTTTTAGTTTTTTTTAATTTTTAAAATTTTTTTTTGGTATGTTTTGTTCTTCACCAAAAAACCGACTCTGACTATAAAACGGCCGTAAACCAGTCAGTGGCGCTAGTAAACGACCACCGTCGGGCCCTTTCTCGAATATAAACATTACTTTTTAATGCCCGTTTTACGACATTATAAATATTTCATACGTTCAGGTGTTAAGATTCCCCGACGGCGGCATCTTTACGAAAATAAAGCAAAAATATAACAACGGAAAAAAATGTTATTTTTGATTTATTTCATTATATTTTAATTTGTTTATTACAAATAATTAGACGAAAAAGTTTTTTTTCTTTTAAAGTTTAGACGGATGGGAGTCTCTTTTTGCGTAGGCTCGCAGCGTGTGGCCGTTTAGGTGGCGTCCCGCGCGGTCCGTCGCCGTCGTCGTCGTCGGCACCACAAAGAGACCTCTCCGGGGCCGAAGGTAGAGTACAAAAGGAGCGAGGGTGTGCGCGCTCGTATATATATTTATGGCCGTGCCGGGGTCTTTCGCGGCATTCGCTCCGGCAATATTTCAGAAATATTAATAATTCTACGGTTCATTTGCTTCGTTTTTCGGTGCGCCTGCCGATACGATATACAGGGCCCCCACATCAGGACCGGAACGACCCCGGACCCGACCCTCCGGAATCGATAAATAACCGTATTGACTTTAGAATTTTCTTTCTCACTCACACTCACCCTTTACACTAGAAATCTCTCAACACTTTTTTTTTGTGTATTCAGGTAAAATAATTGATCTCTTAATGATTGTTTCAGAATTCCTCAACACAAAAAACACAACGATAAACAAGAAGAGACAAATAGAGGTGAAATAGCATATTGTAAGTACAGTGTGTTAATTAATTATCGTACCCGACGTCATCATTGCAAGTATGCAACCAATATCACAGTATTGGTGTTGCAATATACGATTTGCGTATAAGTCATATTATGACGTCGGGTACGACAATTAATTAACACACTGTATACACAATTTTTCTTATATTAGATTTTACCGGTTTCGAAGTGTCATCATCATCAGGAAACAACTTTTATGATTTATTAATAATTAAGCACAAAAGTGTAGTACAGAGATCCCCAACCCATCGTAAACTCATTAACCAAGCGACCTCTTGAATTTTGTTAATCATTTCTTTGTAATAGCAGATAAATTGAAATGTGAATAATTAGTAATTGAAATCTCAATATCAAGCAAATTGGTTCTTACCGTAAAAGACTTAGGAATGTATTGAAAAGAAGCATTATCAATGTTTAGAATTTATGAGAAAATCTATGCTTTTTGAATAATTTGACTTTTGCCTCTGATGATGGCATTTGCCGAAACCAGTAAGTTCATTCACGCCATTATAACTAAGAATTCAGACCTTGTACAAAACTAACACGGCTATCTTCGAAGACGTCGGCCGCCATAGACGATTCTTTTAGTATCAAACCTTTCTAAAAGTCTAACTGATTTGAATCTAAACTAATACCGATGACGTTTCGCAATACTACGGGAACGTCCATTCTAGCAATTAGTTTTAATATTTATATGTATAAGTTTGTCTTATTTTCTTTTGAATAATTTGACTTTTGCCTCTGATAATGCTGTTTGCCGAAACCAGTAAGTTCATTCACGTCATTATAACTTAGAATTCAGACCTTGTACAAAACTAACACGGCTATCTTCGAAGACGTCGGCCGCCATAGACGATTCTTTTAGTATCAAACCTTTCTAAAAGTCTAACTGATTTGAATCTAAACTAATACCGGTGACGTTTCACGATACTCGGAAAACGTCCATTTAAGCAATCAGTTTTAATATTTACAATTTTAAAATAAGTTTGTTTTATTTTATTTTGAATAATTTGACTTTTACCTCTGATGATGGCATTTGCCGAAATCAGTAAGTTCATTCGCCCCATTATGACTCAAAAACCAGATGTTGTAGGAAACTAACACAGCCGTCTTCGAAGACTTCGGCCGTCACAGACAATTTTTTTAATATCAGATCTTTCTAAAAGTCTAACAGATTTGGATCTTAACTAATACCGATGACGTTTCGCAATACTATGGGAACGTCCATTCTAGCAATTAGTTTTAATATTTATATGTATAAGTTTGTCTTATTTTCTTTTGAATAATTTGACTTTTGCCTCTGATGATGCTATTTGCCGAAATCAGTAAGTTCCACTAATCCATCCTAAACTTATTAATCAAGCGATCTCTTGAATTTTGTTAATAATTTCTCTGTGATAACAGATAAATTGAAATCAGAATAATTATTCGTTGAAATCTCACTATCTAGAAAATTGGTATTTTCCGTAAAAGGCTTAGGAAAATATTGAGAAGAAGCATTATTAATATTCAGAGTTTATGAGAGAATCTCTCCAAGTCATCTCTTTTTAAATTATAAATTACTCAACTACTTAAAGCAAAACCGGAGTTTATGAAGAATTTTATGTCCAGAGCAAAATCATTAAAAATGGCAAATAGTACATTTTCCCCAATCCTGTGTTTAAGCTTGGGAAGCTTTAATTTGATGGATCTAGCAATCAGTTTTAATACTTATAATCTTAAAATATGTTAGTTTTATTATCTTTTAAATAATTTGACTTTTGCCTCTGATGATGGCATTTCCCGAAATCAGTAAGTTCATTCGCCCCATTATGACTCAGAAACCAGATCTTGTAGAAAACTAACACAGCCGTCTTCGAAGACTTCGGCCGCCATAGACAATTTTTTTAATACCAAACCTTTCTAAAAGTCTAACTGATTTGGATCTTAACTAATACCGATGACGTTTCGTAATACTCTGGGAACGTCCATTCTAGCAATTAGTTTTAATATTTATATAAGTTTGTCTTATTTTCTTTTGAATAATTTGACTTTTGCCTCTGATGATGCCATTTGCCGAAATCAGTAAGTTCATTCACGCCATTATGACTTAGGAACTAGATCTTGCCCAAAACTAACACAGCCGTCTTCGAATACTTCGGCCGCCATAGACAATTCTTTTAATACCAGATTTTTCTAAAAGTCTAACATATTTGGATCTTAATTCCGATGACGTTTCGGGAGACTCGGGGTCTGCCGACGTCTTCGTGCTCAGTTTTTGTAGTTATTTCAAAGATAGCTTCCTAGGAAGCAACAAGTGGAAACAAATAGCTTGGTTCCAAAGTGTCAAGGGTGGTTTTCATATAAGCCCAACAACACATATTGGTGTGGACGTACGTTTTGTGATACTCGGGGTCTGCCGCCGTGATTAACATTTTCTTCATGTCTTAGGAATCAGACCTAGTACAAACCGTCTTCGAAGACGTCGGCCGCTCCCGAATATCATGGCCACAAGTATTTAGAAAAAGCTCCTGGATACTACAACAAATGATTTTTATCAGAGACGTTCTAGAAGTCTATAGTACCATATGAATTTGATTGGATTTGGATGTTAAGAGAGGTCCAGAACTATATAAAGGCTTAACTAGGTTGATATTAAGAGAAGCTCGAGATGATGTTAAAGATGTTAGAGATGATGTTGAGGTGATCAGTGTAAAAATGTTATTACAAAAAGGATCCTCGCAATAGGGAGATAATGACGCTGAAGCCATTAATTTACCTTGTAGATATACCTTGTGGGACCATAAAAGAAGTAAGAATATCAGACAAATATGTGATATCTACAACATTCTGAGATGCCTCAAGACTACCATGGATAATCAAAGTTGGACTCCCAAGAGTAAACATGACTAAGAAGACCTTCCAGCATAAGCTATGAATAAACCAGATTGATGTCTTAAAATAAGGAGATGTTAATAAACAACAGATGAAGAAAATATTGCTGACAACATAGTAGAAAAAGAAATTGTTCCGCTATATAGGGCGATTCTTAACCTATACGTATAAACTTGGGGATTTAGCAACAGTTTTTTAGTTTAGTAAATATCCATGAAATTTACTTTCAAATCAAGAATACATATAAGATTTTAAAATGACATCAAAGCAAGTGTTCGAAGTTGTTTCTATACACAAAGGGGCAAATCAGGGTGTTGACGGATTGTTTCGCCAGCAGCTTGCATCTGATTTTGCAATCCACGCTCAGTATTAACTTTGGTGGCATACACTATGCTTTTTAAGTGACCCCAAAACTAAAACTAAAAAGAGAATTGAGGTTGGACGATCGAGGTGGCCAGCCCAATGGACCAGCTCGACCTGTCCATCTTTCGGGAAACTAAGGTAAGGTAGATAAGATATCTAGATGTTACCGCATATATCGGATATCTAGGAAACTAAAAAACTTTTATTACAATTTTTTTGCCTGTTAGTTATAATTTGTCATAAATCCCTAAGTTTATGTGTATACGTTGAGAATCACTCTGCATAGCAGGTCTTTATATACAGGTAATAAACCGTGCAGTGTTTCATAAAACCGTGCAAAATCAACTCACTCAAACGCTTTAGTGACGAGTAAATATTAGCACATCTCTTTTTTGGAGAATTCTTCATGAACAGCTTCATTGACATTCCTAATTACTAAGTGAGATAAATGTCTGTAGTTGGTAAACAAACAAACTTCGCTGCTTAGATAGGCAACAGAAATGCATTAATCCTAATAATAAGAGTAAACCAGCTGAGATGATAACGACATATACTAAAAATGTCATATGTGATGCTACAAAAACAAATATAGCAATGTACGCCCAAAGAAAAAAGGAGAGGAAGTCTGAGAATACGTCCTAGAGAGGGAATAGATAAGAAATTACACTTATTGTCAATGTTATTTTATTTTAACTTTACTAATTTCGTCTTAATATGTAGAGCATCCTCAGGAATCTTCACTTATATGTACATGATAAGTTCTCTTAAATTAGTATTATTAGTAACAATATTATTTTAGTTTAAGTTTACCGGTTTCGCCCCAATGTGGAAAACATCTTCAGGAACGTGTCCATATAAATAACACAGGCCTGCGACTAAAAAACTTTTTTGAAACTGAAACGCGATCTTTATTGATTTTTGGGTGCTGAATCCGAGAAAAATAATGAAAAATTGCCAACAGCGTTAATTTTTCGCTTTTTTTTATGTCTCACAAATTTTAAATTTAAAATCACCAAATCAATTGAAAATTCCTTTTATTGTAATCAAAGGAAATAGAAGAACGCGTGATGCTGATTGATTCATAAATATAATTATTTATGAATGACTCAGGGTACTCATCCATTGCAGCCGTTTTTGTCTGAGTCATCTCAACACAAACACAGAATAACCAGAAGTGACACTGATCATATCTGACGCTATATTATACCGAGTTGCCAAAGTATGCTGGTGTTGCCAATGTCACTTTTGGTTATTCTGTGATACAAACACTTGTGTGTTGTTTCTGCTCATATCAACATATCTTCTAGCCGTGGTTGTCGTAATTCTCTCCACAATTTTTGCTACATTTGTGGTGAACTTGTTATTAAAAGACACCAGAGAAACATTACAGACTTTGTTTAGAAAGTGTATTACTACTATTTCGGTGTAAGACTTGGGGACGAGGAGAAATCATCGGCACCTCACAAAGTGTGTTGTATTTGTGTAGAAGATCTCAGGAAGTGGTCATCAGATAAAAAAATCATTTAAATTAGACATTCCGTTGGTGTCGAGGGCCAAAAAATCACAGTGATGACTGTTATTTTTGCTACTATGATTGTAATGGCTGTAACTCTAAGAATAACAGAGATATAGTGTACCCCAAGCTTCCTTCTGCAATGCGACCTGTAGCTCATGGACCAGATGTGGCTGTACCTCAGTCTCCCGCAACGCTAGGTGGATGAGCTCTAGTGAATCTGATATGAATGAAAATGACTGTGATTTCCAAGATCCTTCAGATTATGCCAGCCCACAACTTTTCGCTCAGTCTGAGCTTGATGATTTGACGAGATGCTTGGGCTCTTAGGTTCTAGACTAAAAGAAAAAAAGCTACTGACTGCTGGAACACTTTTTCATCAGTTCAGATTTAGAGATCGTGAATTTACTGAATATTTCAAACAAGAATGTTTCTGGTTTGGTTCAAAAGTTTGGAATTGAATACAAAGCTGATAAATGGAGGCTTTTCACTGATTCTTCAAAAAAAGCTTGGAGGCTATACTTCTGCACAAAGGTAACAAGTAGAAAATTACGAGAATTTGAAAAAGGTGCTAAATAAAATTAAATATACAGATCATAACTGGATAGTTTGTGGCGATCTGAAAGTTTTAGGCATAATGCTTGACACTGGACTAAAAAAGTATGGCCAACTCGACAAACATTGGGGAACAAAGAACATTTTTCACGAAGCTATAGTTAATTCCAGAAAAATTTGTCTTCCCCCTCTTCACTTCAAGTTGGGACTCAAGAAACAATTCATCAAAGCTTTACCCAAGACTAGTGACTACTTTCAATACAGTTTCCACATTTGTCAGCGGCAAAACTAAAAGAAGGAATTTTTGTGGGTCCTGACCTTTGATGAGAAATTGTACACAATGTCAGGTGTTGAAAGAGAAGCTTGGAATGCTTTCAAAAAGCATTTTTCTCTGAAAACTTGGGTGGTACCAGTGAAGAGCAGGGTAAACGTTTTCATCAGGATATTAAGGTCATGGAGAGGAGATATCAGGGTAGATGGGACGTCAGTATGTTGGGTTGGGTTGGGTTGGGTACTGCTGAACTACTGCTGGTCACTTCATCGAGGAGATCCAGGTGTTACTTACAAGAGGAAAAGTAACAATAGGAGCTTTTCCGAGAAGAGGGATAGGAAGTACATGGATTAAATTAATTGAAAATACATTGACATTACCTTTTGTTGTTAATATACTAAATTCGGATAAATAAAACCTTTAAAATTTTTTAAAATAAACTCTCCAAAACATTTTTAGCACCTTTCAAAACTGTTAGATAACCCTAAACAATCTAAAAAGTTTCAATGAAATTAATTTTCGAAGGTCTGTGTAATTATTGATTCTTGCTAAGTTATTAGGTAAACATAGCTTCAATATCACACGCAATTTCTAATCTAACTACTGTGTATAGTAATGACACGGAAAATTATTGGAGACAGAAATGTCCAATTCGACGAAAACGCAACTCTTGGTTAATTGATAGAGTGCTGTTCTACTTTTATTGACCTATTTCGGCTTTTTAAAAATCGAGAATTTGCTTCGTTATGTAGCAAACATCTTTATCATTTACATACAACAAAACAACACTTCAAGATTCACAACAACATTTACATAGCTACATATGTAAATTAAGCTTAATAATGAATGATTAATACGAAGAAATTCTTATAGTGTCAGGCAACAAAAGAAAGATTTTACGATATAAAGTGTCTAAGGAAAGTTAATATTGTTGTTTGGTGCATAATATCAAGTGGATGTAGTTTTGCAATTTGATTGTCTGCTTAAAAAATAATTTTGAAGCGTTTTTGAATAATTCTACATTTTCTTCTTTTCCAGCATTCTTCAAGTTAAAATTAGAAGAGTTTCTGAATTGGGTCAAATCAGAAAATAAAAGGTAAGTATTTATACTGAAAGTTTATTATCCATTTTACCGGTTTCGCCCTAATATGGAGAACATCTTCAGGAATGCGTCCATATAAGTGATTGTTGATTCTTGCTAAGTTATAAGCTAAAGAGCGCTTCAATATTACACTCAATTTCTAATCTCATTGCTGTATATTCATTATACAGAAACGTATTTCGGCTTTTTAAAAATCGAGATTTAAACATCATTAACATCTAGACACAAAACTAAAGAACACTTCAAGATTCACAGCAACATATAGCTACCGCTTAATAATGAATTATTAAAACGAAGAAATTCTTATAGTGTCAGTTAACAAAAGAAAGCTTATACGATATAAAGTGTCTAAGGAAAGTTAATATTGTTGTTTGGTGCATAATATCAAGTGGATGTAGTTTTGCAATTTGATTGTCTGCTTAAAAAATAATTTTGAAGCGTTTTTGAATAATTCTACATTTTCTTCTTTTCCAGCATTCTTCAAGTTAAAATTAGAAGAGTTTCTGAATTGGGTCAAATCAGAAAATAAAAGGTAAGTACTTATACTGAAAGTTTATTATATATTTTACCGGTTTCGCCCCAATATGGAGAACATCTTCAGGAACGCGTCCATATAAGTGATTATTGATTCGTGTTAAGTTATAAGATAAAGAGCGCTTCAATATTACACGCAATTTCTTTAACATCTAGACACAACAAAAGAACACTTCAAGATTCACAACAACATTTACATAGCTACCGCTTAATAATGCATGATTAATACGAAGAAATTTTTATAGTGTCATGCAACAAAAGAAAGCTTATACGATATAAAGTGTCTCAGGAAAGTTAATATTGTTGTTTGGTGCATAATATCAAGTGGATGCAAATAATTTTGAAGTTTTGTTTTGTTTTTTTCCAGCTTTCTTCAAGCTCAAATTAGAAGAGTTTCTAAATTGGGTCAAATAAAAAATAAAAGGTAAGTACTTATATTGAAATTTTATCTATTTTACCGGTTTCGCATTAATTTCTTAGCCATCATCAGGAGACGCGTCCATCAACTACACAAATATTTATAATAAAATATTTTTTTCGACATTCTAAGATATATTCTGTATATGAATGACACTTAGATTCTATAGTTCATATTTTTATTGCCATCGTACATTGTGTTACAATCGGGCAATTGAACGCCCGACAAAATAGCCCCTTCGCGGCTTTATACCCGCTTATTACCAACAACCGGAGTCCCCTTTTTCACGACAATAACCGGGGATAATGGTACACGGGGAACCCGTAACAAAGTTACCGACCACAGTTGACTTTTATCTTTTCGGTAGGGAGGGTTTAAATACACGCCCACGCAACTAAATTAGCCATATGGCCTAACTATTTCTCCTATTATTTTTTTTAATCGATAATAAAAAATATTTTTATGGCTACAAACCTGTATCACTCTCATTGGTAGTCCTGTTTCTTTAGCCAATTGTTCCCGTATGTGCCGCGTTGGTTTCGGTGTTTGTCCGAATGCCGTCTTTAGAATTTCCAATTGTTTTGCTTTGATGGTCGTTCGGGGTCCGCGACGTTTCGATCCGGCGCTGCTATCGTCAGGGCTTTTGTTCTCCGTTTGCGAGTCCCTCGTTTCCGCGTCACCATCCAACGAGTTTTGGTCCTCCGAGTCGTCTTGACCCGTTTTCGAATCCTACCGAACAAAATTAGACTCTATTAACTTTTGATATTAAAAAAAAATTTTAATCGAGTAAGCTTCTCAGAAAACCAATCTAGTTTACACAAAACGCAAGCAAGATGATCCTATTGATGATGAAGTTAAAAGAAGATTGGTGTCGTTGAGCATATGTTGCGATTGAAGACTACTTACTTGACCTATTGAACTGCCTAAGTCAGAATGAGATAGTGAGTTATTGTTGGCTTCGCTCGGCGCTGGAGGCAAGGAACCGTGTAGAGGATGGTGTTTTAAAACCGAAGAAGCTGTGCTGTTATCGTCGTCTTCTTCGTCTTCCGAAGCTGAACCCAGAGAAAGTTCTGCAACATCACAAATGTATGAATAAAAGAAATAAAAAATTAAAAAAATAAAGTTATAAATTCTTATCGTTGATTTCTTCGGCTCATTTCTCAAGATTTATTGCTGAGCGATTGTTACGACTTCTACAAATGGGGCTAGGTGTTGTATTTTTTTTTTCTATACGTCTACGTGTAAAGCAGCTCGGAGCGTTTAGCTGTCGTCGAAATATAACGAAAACGTCTGCTGAGACTTTGATTGACGTCGGAACCGTTTTTCGCCCCGGTGGACCTTACCTCACGAGAAGAGGAGAACACATCTCCGCGTGAACTGTCTGACGTCGACCCAGGGGCACTCGCATCAACGGTTCCGAAATCATGTTAATTCCACGTCCGTCCGAGTGTAAATAAGGCGTATAGCACGAGAGGGCGCGGAATACAACGACTGTCTTTGTCGTCGTGCGGTTGAACGTTTGTTTTTTGAAGTTGACCGCTACGAGAAGTTAAAGTTAAAGATTTTCTGCTTCCGCTGGATACCGAACGTTCCTTGACTTATGATCATCATTAATCAGTGTACGTCTAGATTCGCGAAAGAGAAAGAGAGATGGTCGTATTCGCACAATTACCCGACCTTAACGGTACTATAACTTCGAGGATGCAAAAAAGAAATCAAAACTTGGAGTTTTGAATGAAGAATTTATATATAAAAAAAAGATACGTTCGTACAAGTCTCGTAAAATTTAAACCTACAGACATCCAACCGTCGTAAATAATATGAGAGGTCGCGTCGTCGTCGTCGTAGTCGTAGCCCCGGAGGCGTTCGAGAAAATGGGAAGAAGACGCAACAACGTTTTACAACAAGAAAAACGATTAAAAAAAAGAAGTTAAAACAATAAAAAGGTCAAGTTAAAACGCGAAGAAGTCGAAGTTCACAACGAAGAAAAGAGAAGTTACCTTCTTCTTCTTCTTCTTCGACCCAGTACAAAAACAAACACTTGATATATTGGCCAGAGATGATATAGGGGATGCGCTTATGGGCCCCCCATTTTCTTTTCTTCTCTTTCTTTTCTGATCTCTAGCGTGGGCGTAGTGCGAACGTGGAGCGCCCGAAGAAGGGCCGAGAAAAAGATGAACCGGTGGTTCGCGGGGAGGGTACGGCGGGTGGCCGTAATGCCTTGTTTCTCAGCATGCTTCCACACTAATTGGGGTTCGCGGGGTCCTCTTCGGAACCCGCCGCATGCGGTCGTCCGAGAGACCCGGTCGAACACGGTAATTGGAAGAACAAAAATCGGGAGGGCTGCGTGAAAATCGGAACCGCAAAAAAAAGAATTCAGATAAAAGGGATATTGGGAAGAATTGCTGTGGTTCATTCATAAAAATGAGAAATAATTGGTTTTTTTGTATCTTGGAAAAAAGTTTGTTAGAGCTACGTTTGTAGAGCACATTATTATCAGATTACCTGAAAGGCCATCTACGACAGAATCTATCAGAGAGTGTTTGATGTAATATGGATCCACCAGGTAGGTTTCAGGCTAATATGAAGCTGCATTGACCAGGTACTCTCGACTTATATGGATTCCAATGGAAGCTCAAAACATTTACTGCATTCATTGATCTGTCGGCTACCTACGACACTGTATGGAGATAAGACATGATCTGTAAGTTCCTCGGTGTTATCCCATGTAAATCACCTGCTAAATAATATGCTGAAAGCAGAACATTCCGAGTTGTCATAGTGTCTGATGTGAGCTTATCAAGAAAACTCAAGAGTGGTCTGCCATAAGGCTACATTTTAACCTATACATCGAAGATATGCCAGAAAGATCGAAAAAGCTCGACTATGCCGATTACTGGACTCTTGCAATAAAAGCCTGGGAAGGTATTTTCGGAAATGGCGCCTTCTAACTAAGAAACCTAAGGTAACCTTAAAATACAATTTGAGAACTTATTCACAACAAAAGACCAAAATACTTAGGCGTTACATTTGATAGAACCCAAAAAACATATCACAAAAAGAGCTGAGAAATTAAAAACGAGGAACAATATTACACAAAATCTCTGTGGAACAACATGGGAAGCGTTTGATCCCTGAGTCTCATCTTCTCAACCGCTGAATACTGTGTGCCATTATGGCTTAGCAATCCTCATGTCTATAGAATCAATGGTCATCTCAATAAAACGATGAGAACGATTGCAGGTGATATCAAATTTGCTCCCAGTACTGACCCATATACCACCCACAAACCTGCGCCTCATAAATACCCTCACGAAGAGATTGAGGACGCCAACCACACCCGCATACGATCTAAAAAGCCACTGATCAACACAGCAGCCACTGCGACAGATGTAGTATTCAGCCTGACTGACGTTTGGCTAACTAGATCCCATGTTACCCAAAATCGTCCTGGTTTGGTTTACCACGCAAAACTTGGTCAACTCTAAACTATAATAACTAATAATAAATAAACCGCGAAACTTATTATAGAAGGGCAATCTTGCACAGCCTATGAAGATTTGATATTGACGACTCCAGAATCATCTTATCTATCTATGTCTGTTTATAATCGGAATGGTGGCTGTGATTAAGTTGGATTTGAATTATTACAAATTCAATCTGAATAGTTTTAAAATTAATAATGCAAAACAGAGATTCTGCCATTTCCAAAATAATTTTGATTTATTATTTGAAGAAAATAGAAGTTGTTAATAAAGTTGGGCGCCAATATATAGCACTTGGATCATTCTTACTTCATCATACAGACTTACAAAGTCGGTAGACCTACTTACACTGTTTCTGTAAGTCTAGAAATGATTATATAAAGATAATATGACTTTAAGCCCCAGATGCAAAAAATACGGTAACTTATGCATACATATGATATAGCAGAGAAGTGAAGAGAGCACTGCCAAAATCTATACAAAACGAACACCCATACAAACAAACATTTAGGAAGCGATCAAACACAAGAAGAGTTAGAAATATTAAGATCTGAAATAGAAAGGAGGGTAATGGAGGACAAGGAGAGAAAATCATGCATACTCTATACTAAAAAAAATATGGAGCACAAGGTTACACTAATTCATAAAAAAAACTCATCAGATTGCAATAATTAACAGTTCTTTGATACCACATTGATACAACCACAGATGTCTGAGGAACAAAGAGGCTTCATGCCGGGCAAGGGTACAACAGAACAGATATAAAAAGCAGGTGTCCGATAGGGGTGCATTTTTTCGTCTCTCATATACGAGATATACAGCGAATTTGCCTCAATACGGCAACTCAGAAACAACGATATTAGGAATGTTGCGAAATATGAGCTAGTTGACCAATTCATGTACTTAGGTCCTCTTATAACTAACACCGATGGCTGCAACGCAGAAATAAAGGTATCATTTTTTTTGAAACGTCGATATTAAAGAAGAGGTACCGAACGAAGATCGAAGCTTTTGAGACGTGGATCTTCAAGCGGTTACTCAGAGTGGCATGACAGAGTATAGAACAAACGTTTCAATATAGAACGAACTAAAGGTAAAAGACAGGTTGATCAAGCTGATTAATAGATTATACCTTAGTTACTTTGAATACCTAGCGAGATAAACCGGATAAATGTAAAACTTTGAACTCACCGATGCACCTCATAGATGATGCAGGATCGGGAAAAATAGAGAAGAACAGTAAACACCTAACATTACCAAAACTCTCTCAAGGGTACAAAAACTGAGGATGAGGAGAAGAAGCAGTTTTAACCCAGGAATGGAGGCACCCAAAATTAACGCAGAAGCAATAAGGACAGCTTTGAGAAAATCAATAATTTTTTATAATACTCTACAACAAGTGTATGTTGTAGGATTTTATAGATTAGAGTAGATTTGAGATTAGATTTTTCTTTACTGTGTTATTAAGAAAAACTTCTCTTACACTCGTTACATGGTACATATAGCATAAAGTAAAAAAAATACAGCAAAAAAGTTTACAAAATTTATATGGAAATCTAAGCTAAAAAAGAAAGCACCATAAAAATGCAATACAATTCGCAACGGGAGCTGACTACAGCAAGCAAAAAATAAAAATTGCAAGATGTTACAATAAGAAACGCATGATTACAAACTATGGCAATACCATCAATGTCATGGTAACCTTTAAATCCAAGGTTGAGCCTTATTCTTGTTTAAATCTATATGCAGGAGAGTCAAGATATTCAATTCAGAGAATTTGGTTCTGCAACATTCGTCAAAGCGCAAACCAGTCATGATTCTTAAGCATCTCCTTTGCATTCAAAAACCTTGGAAAACGTGAGCGGAGTGACCCAACATAGAATAGCGTATGTTACCTATTTATTAAATTTCTAATTGCAAAAATACACTTATTTAAGTGCTTGACCAAACTCAGTACATGAGCTTCCCACGTTAGTCTGGAATCAAGTATCACTACCAGATATTTAACCGACTGAGTGAGGTTTGGTGGAATTCCCCTTAGAGCAAACGTCAATCTGAATCTTCAGATTGACGTTTGCTCTAGTCTATTCAGCGCTAGATTATTAGATTCAAACTAAAATAGGATGCTCCGACACAACTTGATCAAGACTATTGAAATTAGACCAGGTATTGTCATTAATAAATAAAAAACAGGAACAGACCAAGTACATATCCTTATGGGACTCCGTATTTAACTGTAATTTTATCAGAAGTGTGGTTATTGAAAGAAGCATACTGAGTACACTCCGAAAGGTAAGACTTAAGCAGTAGAATAGTGGGCATAAAAGGTTGTGCCATAATCATCCAGGCATAAGTGTTACAGGTTGTTCCGTCGTCCAACTAGTAATTGAAAAACGCAAAGCAAGGGTTTTGCCCACCCAATTAGTCTCCATAAATCTTGAAAGGCCTACGACACGGTGTTCATGAAAAAGATTTTTGAGGTGCGATATTTGGTCCATTTGGAACATTTATAGTGATTCTAGGAATATCATTGAGGTGCCTATCTCCTACGTTATTTAAAATATGAAAATGGGTATAGAGATAAA